GTATTACTTATTGATATTTTCAAAGTGGTTTCCAAGAAAACAAATAGAGACATACAAGGTTGATCAAACAAGGTCAAGGAATTGTTGAATGTACTCACCGTATGATCAAAATTCGATTACAAAAACAAAAGGGGGAATCTTTCCCTACAAAATTCAAACCTCATCATAGACTTCACTTGGCTTTATATACTATTAACTTTCTAAATTCTAGAAAAGATGGAAGTACAGCAGCAGAAAGACAATTCCATCAAGTAAAAGAAAAAAGGTTAGGAAGCATCCTTTGGAGGGATCTCCATACTGGACAATGGAAGGGACCCAGTCCACTACTTACCTGAGATAGAGGGTATGCTTGTGTTTTTCCAGAGAATGCTGAGTGACCTATCTGGGTACCAGAGCATGCTGTCCGGCTATATCATGAACCCAGATCTGGAGAAGATGTTGGTTCTACCTTTCAGGAAGCTGATGTATAGGCCTGTGACAGTGATGCCTCAGAGACTGTGTCACAGCTGATAGACAACAATGAAGCTAGATTCGATCTGGGGCCTATTGAAGAAACTGATATAAGTGGAAATCTAAGATCTAAATATGTAATAAAGTATATAGGGATACAAAGGTGAAAGTTACCAGTATTCTTAAGAGGATAAAATACAAAACATACATGTTTATTATAGATAAAAGATTCTATTCCTTCCAAAGATTTTCTAAGAGATCTCTGCTAATTGACAACACAATCTGACTAGTCTATTTAAATTATAAATTTCTAAAATTGTGATAGGGTTACTATAATTCAATTTGGTCAAAAATACATTTGTGTGCACACTGATTTTGTAAAGATGTTTGTTCTGTGTACTGGTTTGCGTGTTTGTCTGTCATTCTGTGAACAGCGGTTCCCCTTTATTTTGAGCTCAATTTTTCTTTTATCATTTGTTCATAATACAATTGGGTTATAGATTTAAAAGCATGCTTTCACCTGAGTTACCAGTTGGTTTAAATGATATCAAAATTAAGATATTTAACCACAGTCCTTAGGGTGAGGAGAAATTATTTGGGCAGGACTCCAATTGATGAATGGAGGAGTGGTCAACCTTTATTCATTAATAAGGAGCCCTCAGTGATCTCCATAGTCTTTTGGGAGACACCCCAATAAATGGGTCATCTGGTCAAAAGAAAGTTTTTCAGTAAAAACTACAATAAGGTTTTCTCATAAAAGATGCTCTTGGTACAGAACTAAATTTTGACAAAGGTTTTCACATGTGTATGGTAATTCACTAGTGTTAATTTCATAGTGTATTAAATGTGTTCATGATTCCAGATCTGTAGGTCTTCCAAAATGTAAAACAAAGATTACTTAGTGTGATAAGACTTTCCTTCAGATTCAGACCTCTGCCTTAACAAAAACTTGTGATGTATATCCCATTAAAGGACAACAAATTAGATCAAAACTTCTTATGTATTAGATAGAGATTGGTTAAAAAGATCATGTTATGTCAAAATGAAAATTGAAGTTACATTATCATTATTGTCACATAGCTATGTTACATATGGCTTTGATTT